GGGAGCCTGCTTCTCTCCCTCTGCCTCTGCCTCTCTCTCTCACTCTGACTTTCATGAATAAATAAATAATAAAAAAAAAATTAAAAATACAAGTTATTCAGCATTTTCTTCTTCAGATGCCCAGCAACACAAACAGACAAACAAAACCTAAAGAATTGCACTGGGACAACACACAAGTCCCAGGGTTTATTTGCAGAAATGTGCTTGGCTTCTCCATTCTGTTGATCTCTTGTTCTACATTCTGCTCTCTCCTTTCTTCTCCGTTCACTTCTGCCTCCTCTGCCCCTTTTCTGAACAAGATTTCGGATATCTTACCTTTCTCATTGGATGCTTGTATGCAAGTCACTTTCCTTCCAGTCTCCCTACTGTCCATTTGTCTTGCTTTTCTCTGCTTCCAGCTGCCATTTGTTTAATACGCCCGATTTCTTGTTTTTCTTCTTTTCCTGTGTGTCTCTTAGACCGAATACTTGAAATGTAACTTAGCCGCTAGGCGCTTCTGTTAGCCTTTATGGTACCTCTGTGTCCATGAACAAAGGTGCCGTCTCTACAGTACGTGGTAGCTGGCTTGTCAGTGGGTGAGGGCTTGGTGAGAATCAGAAGCAGGCGCCCCTTCCTTCAGGCCTGCACAGAGTGCATGGTCTGCTGAGTGCAGGGGGGGCTGGATTGCAGCCCTCACTCAGCCTCTTGGCTGGAAGTCCTGTGCAGGACAGAGCCATCACAGCTGTACAAATCTTCTTTTCGTATCCTGTTCACAGCCATCAGGCCGGTTAGCAGCTTCTTTACATTTAATGTTTCCTGCCCAAACTAATTCTGAAGGGTTGGGTGGTAGTGGCTCATCCTGAATAGCCTATTGCAGCCCTTGAGGGGTACATTTTCTAGCCTGGGGTACATTCTAGAAACTATTCACCATGCATGTACAGTTAGAGTATACTAGTGGTGATATGTTTCTGTAGCTATTAAAATTGTCAGGGAAGGGAACATATACACAGTTTGGACTATTTGATTCCTATTGGAATTCTTCCTTATTGGAAAATTTAACCCTTCATGTGTGTTATTATGTCTAGAAGCATCTTCATGAAAAATTGTAAATTATAGATGAAATATTTCAAAGAAATGGTAAAATAAATGACATAAATTGAACTGTAGAGAATCATAATAATGGTGATCTGATTAAATAAGTGGGTCTCCTTCCTTCCTTTCCTTCCTTCCATCCTTCCTGCCTTCCTTCCTTCCTTCCTTCTTTTTTGTCCACATATTAGTAAATACTTCCTATATGCTGGGTACTAGAGATACAAAAATAAATAAGACCCTATGAGGAGGACCTCACAATTTAGTGGACAAAGTGAACAGTTGACTAGATAGTACAGGATGCTTTAGTAAGAAAGTCAGTATTTTGAGGAGGAGTGTGTGTGCCGTGTATGTGTGTGTATGTGATACCAGAGAAGTGATCATCTATATGAAGCTACAGAATTTGGCTTTTCTTACTTTTTTGATTTTCTTGATTCATAAAGTTAGCATATCTGACAGCTTATTAACTTTAGACCTGCAGAATTTTGGGATGCTTGTAGGAAATGATTGATGGGATAGTTATAGTGTTATAAGGAGTTAGCATCAACCTAGAGTTTAATTCACCAATTAAATCAAATATCTGGAAGAATAAAACATGTTGTCTTGATACATTTTTAATCACTATACTCTCACTTATTATGAATTAAATTTATTTTAATCGCATACAGGCATTTGCTCGGCGTGCTTTAGCTAAAATTGATGAGTTAAGGCAACTGGAATTAATGAGTTCCTCACAATCACAGGAAGAATCCAGAAGACATTATAGAGAGGCCACAATAAAGGTATAAAAGTTTCATGAAATAAAATAAATTTACTGCACTATATAGTTGATTAAGTACTTAATATTAGTGGTTGAGAAGTGCATCCCATTGTTACCTCTTATATAATTCTTTTTCTGAGACAGATGGCAGTGATGATCTTCAAAAGAGGAGTATTTGAATCTAGAAGAAAAAACAAAAGTTTCTTTAGACCAAAGATAAGAGTTAACCTGAGGGAAGCTCAAACTGTAAGTCTAAGAATGTCTTCTCTTGTTCAGATTCTTTCTGCAGTGTATTTGTGTTATACCTCCCATCTCTGAAGCCTGGTCACTCAGTATTAAATCCTGCCCCCTGTTCTCAGCACCAGTGGCAAATAGAGGAATGCCTTCCCACTTTGGACACAGCCTCACTCCATCCCTTTCTTAAAGTTTTGTACCTTCCCACAATCCCAGTTTTGTAACTTTAAAGGGCAAGATGAAGAAGAAGAGCCTGAGAAAGGTTCAAAAGTGGTGCCGCGGAGGCCTGTGTCTTTGACTGCTCGGTGTTAGCTTAGTGGGCTTTGAGGTTGGAGAGAAGGTAGAGGCACCTTCTCTCCTCAGCTTCAGACTTCACCCTTGGGAGTGTTCAGGAACTAGGCTACACTGAGGCAAAGCAACCTCCATATCTCAGTGGCTTAAAACAGCCTTTATTTCCCACTGACATGATGGCTACGACAGTTCACAGGGGGCTCTGCTAAGGATCAGGGTGAGGAGAAGCCCTCATTTTGAAAGTTGCTGGTTGTTCTGCCGTAGGGCGTTGGAGAAAGCCCTGGAGAATTGTGCGCAGGCAATAACGCCCAGCATGGGAGGGAGCGCAGTCTCTTCTCACAGGTCAAGACTCGTCGTACGGCTGTCCTGGCGACAGGCGTGTTTGGTCAGCAGCGCTAAGGGCTGTCAGGGAGGAAGACTGGGACATAGTTATGCCTTCTGGGGTCCTCTGCCCTTTCTCCCCCCTGCCCTGTCCTCCCGCTGTCTTGCCCTTGCCTTTCTGAATCTCAGTATCCCTGAAGGCCCAGTTCTGTTTTTATTTTGAAGCTTTCCCTGACTATCCTAGATGGCTGTAAATTTTTCTGTGAACTTCTTGGTAGGGACCAAAAATGAAAGTGAAGGGGAAGATGAGTGGTTTTGGACAGGAGAGTAACAGAATTTCAGAACCTGGAAGAAATTTAAGAAATCGTCTGGTCCAGTCCTGTCCTATTACATATGGGAACATAAAGCCCAGAGTATTTAAATTATGGCCTCAAAGGTCACAAAGGCAGCCGCAGGACTCTGGTCCAGTGCTTTCTCATTACTCCGATAACTGCTGCTCTCTCCATGCATTTCTTCTTATAACATTTCAGAGAAGTTATTTTTCTTTTCTCTAAAATAAATCATAATATCTAAATACAAAAATTATGTGGGCATGGTAGCTTTTTATTGCTTCTTAGTTTGACTATGGTATGTTGGCTGCTGAGCCCAGAGGTACATTTCATACATTCTTTTAAAATCATATCCCTTACTGACCAGTGGTGGATAATCAGTGGGGGTGGTGACTTGCCCAATCATAGGTAATTCCTTGGATGAGCTGTGGAACTGCCTGCATCTGGTATTGTTTGTTTTTTTTTTTTTTTTATTTATTTGACAGAGAGACACAGCAAGAGAGGGAACACAGCAGGGGGAGCGGGAGAGGGAGAAGTAGGCCCCCCGCTGAGCAGGGATCCCTATGTGGGGCTCGATCCCAGGACCCTGGGATCATGACCTGAGCCGAAGGCAGACACTTAATGACTGAGCCGCCCAGGCACCCCCGCATCTGGTATTGTTGAGTAGTAACGCTCTATAGCATTTGTAAGAGAGCATGGGGCAGGTTTTTTTTTTTTCTGGCTAGCAATTTTTTTTTCTCTGAGCAAACCAAATTTAAGTATCCAAAGCTGCAAGACTGTCATTAATTAGCATATTATAATGCTTTATAATCATCTTTCAATAAAAATTAAATATATTTCCAAAGAGAAGCGTTTCAAATTCCAGATAACATTACATTAAAAACACATCTATTTCTGGTTTCCTTTAAGATAATTATCTTACGGAAAAGTCTGGTGGTATATCTTTTTAGAAAAAAGTTATAATTGTTTAGTTAGTAGTTTCTATAGGGAATAGTCAACATACCCTTTTTATAAAGTCATAGTATATTACCTTGACATACTTTGCAGAATGTTCTGCTTTATATGTATGAAATAATTTTATTATGTGTCTGCAAAAGAAAATAATTTGAATATGCGTTAAATCTATTTTATAAAACATTTCTGAATTTGTAAGTCCATTGTGAACTCACAGTTAATCATTTTGACTTTCAAAGGATTCCTTTAAAGGACTACTAAGCCGTACTCCTAATGACTGACTGTTTAGTGATTCATTCAATAAATATTTTTAAAGTACCTGCTATATGAACAAGATAGATAGGAGTTACATTCTAGTGGAGAAATTACATAATAAATAAGTATAGTAATTATAGTTTGTGAGAGTATTAAGAAGGAAATAATGGTAGAGATTAAATGAATTACACGTAAAGCCCTTAGAATGTTTCTGGCATGCAGTAGGTCCTCAGGAATATTAGCTATTACTATTATTTATTTTTATTCATTTAACAGAATGTATCAAATGCCTACTGTGGTTACAAGTATGGTGGAATATAGAAAAGCAAAGTCACAGTTCTGTCTTTTTTTTTTTTTTTAAAGATTTTATTTATTTATTCATGAGAGATAGAGAGAGAGAGGCAGAGGCAGAGGGAGAAGCAGGCTCCCTGCAGAGCAGGGAGCCCGATGCGGGACTCGATCCCAGGACCCTGGGATCATGACCTGAGCCGAAGGCAGACGCTCAACCGACTGAGCCACCCAGGCGTCCCCACAGTTCTGTCTTTTTGAATGGCCTTGGAATAATGAGCAGGATTTGAGTGGATAGGAAGGAGAGGATAAAACATTCTAAGTACAGGACAAGAGCACAATCATAGCTTGGAAGCAGGAGCAAACAAAGTGAGAAATTAAGCTTGACTGGGCTAGGTATATTATGTTGGAGATTAACATAATACATCTCATGGAGTAGATGTCATAGAAACCATAGTATTTAGAAGTCGAACAGACTATCTGGATCATGTCATTTAGCTTCTCATCCAACCTGATGTTTTTAAAGATGGTCTAATATACTCTATGCAGTATTTGTACCGTAACTTGTCAAATATTTTTATTACTATTTAAAATTTTAGTTGTTTCCAGTTCTTTGTTATTCTAAATATTGAAGTAATCAACAGCTTCCATGTGCTATTTTTTTAATTTCCTGTGGCAAAATTCAAGGTGTGGGATTTGAATCAAAGGATACAAGAAGCACTTTTATTTCACCTGATATATATTCCCAAATTGATTTCTGAAATAGCTATGCAAGGTACAGCCTGCAGGTACCAATTTCACTACTAGTTGTTATCATTTTGCTATTATTTTTTAAAAAAGATTTTTATTTATTTATTTATTTGAGAGAGAAAGAGAGAGAGAGTGCGCACACGGTGGGAGGGGCAGGAGAGAGGGAGAGAGAGAATCTAGGGCAGACTCTGCGCTGAGCGCAGAGCCGACTCGGGGCTCGATCCCACGACCCCGAGATCATGAGCTCAGCCTAAATCAAGAGTCAGATGCTTAACTGACTGAGCCACCCAGGCATCCCTCTTTATTTTTTTAATAATTCAGTTTTTTTAAAATGGCTTGTCATTTTAACTATTTCTTTGATCCAACTTTCCCTTATATTTGTTTTTACTCTTTTTATTTCCTTCTGTGGATTTTATCTTCCACAGTTTTTGACCATTTATCTACTAGAGATTTTAATTTTTAAAATATACTTAAATGAACTCGTTTTTGTAGACATTAATAATTTGCTTGTCATGCTTGGCAGCCCATTGTTTTTTTATTGCCTTAAATCTTTTTTATAGACCTTTTAAATATTTATATTTTAAAATGTTTTACTTGGTATTCATCTACAGCTGATAAATATTCTATTTTACTTTTTGCTAGTTTTTCTATGGTATTTCTAAAAACAATTTAACTATAATCTTTGGTTTTTATAATTTCATTTTGAATACTTCTAATTATTAGAAAGTTTATTATGCTTTTAAGTATAATTTTTTAAAAGCTCTGTTTTAACCTACAGTAAAAATCTTAGAAGAAACCTTTACCTCTGTTTGTAAAAGGCTAGGGCATGAAGTTCAAGTTTATTGAGGTTTTTAACCTCTCAGTTAACCTATGGATTGAAAAGTCATAGAAGCGAATGAGTAGAGAAGTTGATGTTTGAGGAGAAATAGTCCAAAGCAGTTTTAACCCTGTTTATGTTTTTCTGTCTTTCTGACTTTGCCCCAAGAAGAGGAGAGAAGCAGGGGAATCATGGGGAATATGATGGGTATCTTCTAACTGGACATGGATTCTAGAAAAGCTGACCAGAGCTACTTCTCTTACTTACTGGTAATCTAAATACAGAGAACAAATCAGTTGTCAGAAGAATAGTGTAGAGGCAAGTCATAGGCAGGAGGGGAAATCATTCCGGGATGATACAAAGCAGAGTGGCTGGGAATTCATATAGGGCTCTAACTGTCATTAGCATATTACTATACAGCTAGTCAGTTCTTCTTTTGTTAACTACCACAAGACCAGCTATTTATACTGTGAAATATTGTTTCAAATTTGGGTTTAAGGACCTTCTGCATTAGAATTTCCTGTGGTGCTTATGAAAAGTGCCCCATCTAGACCCACTGAATCTCAAGATTTGGTCTGTGAATCTAAAAAGCACTCCTGAGGGGCGCCTGGGTGGCTCAGATGGTTAAGAGTCTGCCTTCGGCTCAGGTCATGATCCCGGGGTCCTGGGATTGAGTCCTGCATCGGGCTCCGTGCTCCTTGGGGAGCCTGCTTCTCCCTCTGCCTCTCTCTCATGAATAAATAAATAAAATCTTAAAAAAAAAAAAAGCCCTCCTGAGAGACTCCTAGGCAATCAAAGTTTGAGTATCAGTTCCTGAAGGCTGTAATTAAGGTAACACAAAGCATATGGAGATTGATGTTGCCCTAATAAAAAGACGGTAATAAACAGCCTTTTAATGCTGCCTCGGAAACACGAACGTAAAGAAATAGCAGTCTTCAATGTAATGGTGTCATGACATAAACTTTAATGGAGTCTGAGAAACACCTCAAAAATGAACACCGTAAAAGTAACCATCTCATTGATAGGCCAGCCACTCTCTTAGCATTAATGAAGCATGCCTTACTTCTCTTTGCTTATAATATTAAACATTGTAGAACTTCAAAGAAGTGGACTGTGGTTTTTGTTTTTGTTTTTATTCCAGTTGCCATGGCCACGTACCGTCACAGAGCGGCTGTTGGATGAGATGTTTGACAGCACCGCATCCCGGTTTCTGGCTGTCTTAGAAGCTCTTTCTGATTCAAATAGGCGCACACTACAAACTGGACCCATTGTTACAGATGAAGTAGAAGTTCGGGATGTTGTCTCAGAACTGTTTATGGCAGGAAAAGAACTTTTAATAAGTAAATAATTTGTTAAAATAATATATTATGGTAGAACATGAAAAACAAAAATTTTAGTATGGTATTCCACATATAAGAAACTGATACCCAATTTTTTTTATCTTAAATTCAGCAATCTTGTTAAACTCAGCTGATAATTTAAATAATTTATGAGATTTTCTTTTGGATTTGCTTAGGTATATTATCATCTTAACCTGTGAATAATGACTATTGTATTTCTTTCTTTCCAATTCTTAATCTTTTAATTTCCTTTCTTGCATTTCTTGGCTTATTGCACTGGATAGGATCTCTAATAAAACATGAAATGGAAGTGGTGATAGCAGATATCCTTGTCTCATTTATGATCTCACATGGAAAGCTTTCGACATTTTACCATTAATTCTGATGTTTGCTGAAGGATTTTTTTAGATACCTTTTTTCCATATTAAGGAAGTTTCTTTTATTCTTGGTTTGCTGAGTTTCGTTTGTTTGTTTTTAATTCTGAATAGTTGTTGAATTTCATCAAAAGCCTTTTCTGGATTTATTGAGTTGATTGAATGGATTTCTAGTTTATTTCTATTAATGTGGTAAATTACATTGATTGCTTATCTAATCTTTAACCACCCTATATTTTTGGAATAAGTCTAATGTGGAGGTGAGGATTATCCTTTTGATATATTATTTGATTTTGTTTGCTAATGTTTATTATATTGCTTCTCTGTTCATGAGACATTTTCCTTTCTTGTAATGTCCTTTTTAGGTTTTGCTTTCAAGGTCATATTGACCTCATATAAAGAGTTGAGAAGTGCACTCTCTTTCTCTCTTATCTGAAAGATTTTGTGTCAGATTGATGTTATTTCTTCCTACATGTTCGATTGAATTTACTGGTGAAGACATTTGGACCTGGAATTTTCTTTGTGGAAAGGTTTTTAACTATGGATTAAAAATTTCTCATAGATATAAAATGATTTAGGCTTTCTTTTCATTAAAAAGATCTATCAGTTTGGTAAATAGGACTTGAAAAAATTTGATTTTTTGATCCAATATTTTCAAATTTTCATAAAATTGTTTATAACATCTCATTATGATCTTCTTAATCTTCTTTATAAGATCTGTAGGTGTCTGGGCTCCTCTTTTTCATACGTAGTAGTGGTCACCTTGCCTTTTTCTCTCATTTCATTAGTTTCCTCAGGAGTCTACCAATTTCATTAGTCTTTTTCCATGAGCAATATTTGTGTTTATCCTCTCTATTGTATATTTGTTTTCCATATTATTAGTTTCTGTTCTTTATTATTTCTCTTATTCTACTCTCTTGGATTTACTTTGCTGATTTTTAAAAATTTATTGACTTGGAAGCTTAGATCATTGATGTTTTAGGATTTATCCTTATTTTAACATATGCATATTAAGGCATTTGTCTCTAAATGCAACTGTAGCTATGTACCTGAAGTTTTGATTTATCATATCTTCATTATCATTTAGTTAAGAATATTTTCAAATGCCCACTGTGCTTTTTTTTTTTTTTGGATACCGTGTCATGAGTCAAAAAGCATGGAGATATGCTAATTGTTTTTTTGTATTGATCTCTAGCTTACTTATATTGTGGCCAGAAAGCATATTCTATTTGATATTCTTTGAAGTTGTTGAAATTGTTGAGGTGTGGTTTATGGCCTAACTTGTCAATTTTGGTAAATAGTCTGTATAGACTTGAAAAGACTATATGTTCTTTCATTGTTGGGTACATTGCTTTATATATATGTTGATTAGGTGAAGTTTGTAAATCATGTAGTTAAGTCTTCTCTATTCCTACTGATGTTTTTGGCCTGCTTGTTTTGTAAATTGCTGAAAGAGAACATCATCTGCTATGCATTTCTTTTGGTGTGGAATTGATACAGCATAGGGTATGTGTGTGTTTTGCTGTAGTGGATACTGGTTTCCAAAATGGTTTATTTATTTATTTATTTTTGTTACCGATTATACCACCAGCAGCATTTTATGAGAGTTCTAATTGCTCCAAATTTGGACCCTTAGATTTATTTGTCTTTTTCATTTGTCCATTCTGGTATGAATTCAGCAAATTCAGTAGTATTATGGATTTAATGTGCATTTCTCTGACGACTAATGAAGTTGGGCACTTTTTCATATATTTCTTCACCATTTGGATATCCTATTTTGCAAAGTGCGTGTTCAGATTTGTTGGAGGAGGTCATCAAGAGGATATGACTACCAGTTAATTCTTGAGCTGGACCCAGGCATTTGGAGGCTCCTTATAGTCCCCATCTCCCACCCCACCCTGTCCTTGGTGTGTATGTCCTGCCTACTATTCTTGTACTAGCGGTGGTTTCAAGGATGTAGCCTTGTGAGACTAAGGTGTTGTTGAGACCAGGTGGATGGTATACGTGACTGAACCCAGTTAAATCTTCTGGGGAAACTATATAGACAAGCCTTATATGTAAGTTCCTTTGCTTTATTAAAATGACCACCTACCAGTCTGGAGTGGTCTGCCTCTTCTTTAGTCTCTCCTTGCCCTCCGTGGAAGGGGGCCAGTTTGTGAACCATCTTTTGCCCATTTTTCTATTGGGCTATTTGCTTTTTTCTTATTGGTTTGTCAGAATTCTTTATAGATTCTGGATATAAGTTCTTTGTTGAATATATATATTGCAAATATCTTTTCCCACTTGGTGGCTTGCCTTTTCATTCTCAAGTATAGCTGTTAAGGAACAGGAGTTCTTAATTTTAATGTAGTCCAGTCTATCAGTATAGCCTTTATAGTTAACCATTTTTGTGTCATGTTTAAGAAATCTCTGTACTGTAATGTCATAAAGACACATTCCAATGTTTTCTTTTAGAAGCTTTATTATTTTACCTCTCACATTAGGTCTCAGTTTTGTTTTTGTTGGTATGAGGTAGAGATCAAGATTTATTTATTTCCATATAACATCTAGTTGACACAACACCATTTATTGAAGAGACCTTCCTTTCCCCATTGACTATAGTATCCTTTTGCCATAAACGAGGTGACTATACATGTGTTTTTTTACTCTACGGAGAATGTCATGGACAACTTCCTTTTTGTTCAATCCAAGGGTCCCTTCTCAGTGCTTTTCTTCCTTTACACTCTAGTATTTGTTACTGTTGAATACTCCTTTCTAAACACTCTTCTTTGCAGCCTTTTCTCCCTCTCCCCTTCTCTTACGTGTTGGGGTTCTCCTGTCCTAGGCAGCTGTACATTGCCCATGGCTGCTTCTGTTGTTTACTATGGATATATAATGGTGACTCGAAAGCTGTATCCCTATTATAGACCTGTTTCCTGAGCTTTCAGTTTGTAATATCTAGCTACCTATTTGACTAGTTAACTCTTGCTAATTCTCTGTGTTTGGGATTCTATGTTCCTTCCTCTGGCTGGACGTCCTTGACCACTCTCTTACCTCAAACCCATGTTCGATGCCCTTCTTATTTGTCCCCACAGCACCCTGTATTTTCCTGCTAAGATTTCTTGTTTCCCTGTTAGAGTATAAGCTCTGTGAAGGCAGGGATTGTATTTGCTTCTTTTCCATTGTTTCTCTGGTGCCTAGCAGTATCTGTTAGTTAATATTTAGTAAATATTTCTTTGCATGAATGACATTCAGACCTCTCTTTTTCCTTTTCTAGTGTCAAGTACTGGTGCAGATGGAATGCTTGATTTTCCACAAACATCTCTTTTGCAACTTACTGTAAAAGGAAAAAATGTTATTTCTATAGATGCTGCTGTGAAATTTGTAAAGTTAGCTTTTACTTATGAGGAATGGAGTTTATTTGAATCTTTAGCTGGGCAGCTTATTGATTTTCTCCAGGTAAGATATACAAAACCAATAATTTGTTTTTATTTTGTTAAGATGGCTTTGAATTATTAACTTGTGGGATATACTTCTCTTAGAGGCAGGATGATCCAGAGTCAAAGAAAGCAGAAAAGGATTTAATTCTCCTTGTTGCAATAGAACCTTTAATCAACGTAAAGAGAAACAAAGGTTTGGTCTTTCCCATGGAAAATTATAAAGAAGGACAATCAGCTCAAATTAATGTTAAGAAAATTGCTTTTCATGGTGAGTATTTATTTGCCTTTTTGAAAACTTAAAATTTCATCTGATAAAATATACTCTCTAGGCAAAGTGAGCAAGAATGTTCAAGGCAGAAGAGACAGGACGTGCAAAGACCAAGTGTGCTTGGTTGTCGAAGGAGTGACAAGGAGGCACATGTGGCTAGAGTGCGCTGGTGGTGCTGGTGGAATTTGAGAATGTGGTAGGAAATGTGGGCAGAGAAATAGCTGGGTGCCAGGTCCTGCAGGCTCCTAGACCTTGTAAGGATGCTGGGGTTTCATTCTGTGTGATGATTTTGAGGAGGTGAGTAAGGCTTTACTTAGCGGCTACCTTGTTGGTAAGTGAGAGACCAGCACAGCAGTCAATCAAAAGCCATCAGTTCCCTTTGGCAAGGGAAGATTTGGTGGTCTCCCATCTTTTTTCAGTAGGGGCAGTTTTTCATTCCAACATTTTAAGTCTTAAAAGTTATTGTACATATAACTGAAAATTTGCAACCTCTAATTTTAGACTGACAAGAATGATTTAATCCCATGTTTTTTTATGTTTTATAATGTTCTTAATGTTCAATTGCAGTAAATAATTTGTACCAAGCAATGATACGTATATTTTTTCTAGTGGTTTCTGAATAGATATTTTTGTTATTTTTATTTCAACTGCCATGTTTTACATGTGTTTTAGTATTATAAGCCTTTTCAATTCTATTTTGGATGTAGTTGGCATACAGATTGCAGATTAATGGTAATAGTCTATTTTAATTGCATTAGAGCCCACTTAGATTAGTTTTCGTATAGAAATATCTTAGTGACATGATATTTGTCCAGGTACCATTTATGTCATTTTGTAGAATTTCTGTGTTTCTATGCCTTTTCTACTTGAAAATTTGTAATTGTTTTTTTTTTGTTTCATTTTTCTCTACTTTATGAATTAGATTCTTGTTTGAAGACTTATGGATATTCAGAAGACATTTTCCATTTGGCAGCAACCTTGTACTCTTGTGTCTGTGCTTCTCCCCAGGTGAAATTAATTGCTTTTTTGAATACTTGGTGATAGTGTTGAAGGAGGTTATTATAGCTAATTTAAAGCCAGATTTAAAATATCACGGGAATTGCACCTTGCCAAAATTCTATATTGTTTAATCATTAAATAAGAGGTTGAGTCATAACCTGACTTCTGATTTTAAGTCTGTTTTGATAATAACTTCTTTTGTTCCTTTTTGGAAAATTCCTATGCTAGCTATATTTCTAATAATGAAGGAAATGAGGCAGTCGTTTCAATTAGAGTTAACATTCTTAATGAAATACCACTTTCCAGTCCATGAATACAGCGCTTAGTTATTATTTGGAGTCACTTTGCACACAATGGCCATTAGAGATGATGATTTGTGGGTATGAATGTTTAAGTAACTAGAACAGCACTGGTGTCAAAACTGAATTACAGGGATCCCCAGGGCTTTGCTGAAGTTCCCTCAGGAGCTCAGCTTTGGGTATAACACCCTAACATGTTTTTATTAGTTTGAAAGATTTTTTATTTATTTATTTGACAGAGAGAGACACAGCGAGAGAGGGAACACAAGCAGGGGGAGTGGGAGAGGGAGAAGCAGGCTCCCCGCAGAGCAGGGAGCCCGATGTGGGACTCGATCCCAGGACCCTGGGATCATGACCTGAGCCGAAGGCAGTCGCTCAACCGACTGAGCCACCCAGGCGCCCTTTTTATTAGTTTTATATACAATTGTTGAGATAGAATTTCATTTGAAAATTTGGCTTTACTATTCTAAAAAAAATTTGAAAACCACAATGATAGAGCATTGTATTAACTTTTGTTCAGGGAAGTGAAACCACAGTAAGGGATTTGAGAAGTTCCACTGGTAAAATGTTTTTTATTTCTTCTGGGTTTATTAAATACTTGTGACAGGTATTTAATTTTTGTCAGAAAGGTATTTGATTGCAAATATAATGATTATAGTAGGAGAGCTAAACAAAAGGTTTTTTTTTTTTTGTTTCAAGTTTTTATTTAAATTCTAGTTAGTTAACATATAGTGTAATATTGGTTTCTGGACTAGAATTTAGTGATTCATCCCTTACAGATAACACCCAGCGTTCATCACAACAAGTGTCCTCCTTAATACCCATCACCCATTTAGCCCATCCCCCACACTCCTCCCCTCCATCATCCCTCAGTTTGTTCTCCATAGTTGAGACTCTTTTATGATTTGTCCCTCTCTCCTTTTTTTCCCCTTCTTTCCCCTATGTTCATCTGCTTTGTTTCTTAAATTCCACATATAAGTGAAGTCTTGTGGTATTTGTCTTTCTCTGGTTGACTTATTTCACTTAGCATAATACACCTCACTCTATCCATGTCATTGCAAATGGCAAGATTTCCTTCTTTTTTGTGGCTAAGTAGTATTCCATTGTGTATATATACCACATCTTCTTTATCCATTCATCTGTTGATGGACATTTGGGCTCTCTCCGTAGTTTGGCTATTGTTGATAGTGCTGCTGTAAACATTAGGGTGCATGTGTCCCTTAGAATCAGTATTTTTTTATCCTTTGGGGTAAATACCTAGTAGTGCAATTGCTGGGTCATAGGGTAGCTCTATTTTTAATTTTTGAGGAACCTCCATACTGTTTTCCAGAGTGGCTGCACCAGCTTGCATTTCCACCAGCAGTGTAAGAGGGTTCCCCTTTCTCTGCATCCTCGCCAACATCTGTTGTTTCAGTGTTGTTAATTTTGGCCATTCTGACTGGTGTGAGGTGGTGTCTGACTGTGGTTTTATTTATATGTCCCTGATGTTGAGTGATGAGTGATGTTGAGCATCTTTCATGTGTCTGTTGGTCATTTGTATGTCTTCTTTGGAAAAATGTCTATTCATGTCTTCTGTCCATTTCTTAACTGGATTATTTGTTTTTTGGGGTTAAACCAAAAAATTATAATCCAGGCTGAAAAGGGCAAGGATTTTTTTTTTTTTTTTACAAATAAGTATTTTAATGATGAACTTCGGACAAGTTTTCCAAGCATAATATTTTCATTGAGGTATAGTTCCAGAAACTAGTCATGATCATGAGCTATTAGCAGTCTAGGAATCAGATGTAGTTATGTTCCAAATCTACCAAGATGTCCGATCTGTCATCCTTAGACTTGTTTTTTCAAGGCCTAGTAGACAAGGTTTCCTCTTGAGGATCTCTGTTCTTGAGTTCAGTTGCTAAATCCAGGTATAAAGGACCAGTTGGGGAAACTCAGGACAAGAAGATTAAATATTCTTTAGAGGAAAGGATAGGGTGTGATGGGTTGCTCATGTCCCTTCTATGTCCAACCCAATACAGAGAGCTTTTCTGCTGTTCCTGAAGCTGGTCCCATTTCTGTCCTGTGCCCATGCTCTTGGCCACCTTTGAGGTTGATCGTCAGCAATCAATACCTATGAGCTTTGATTTTGTTTATTTTTATAATTTATTTAATAATCTAAATTTTAAAAGATTAGTTCAGAAGCATTGACATATCTTTTTTTTAAAGGTTTATCTATTTATTTATTTTAGAGAGAGAAGTTGGAGGAGGGGCCAAAGGAGAGGGAGAGAGAGTCCCAAGCCAACTCCACGTTGAGTGCAGAGCCCAATGCGGGTGATCTCATGACCCTGAGATCATGACCTGAGCCAAAATCAAGAGTTGCAGGCTTAACCCATTGCGCCACCCAGGCACTTGACATATCTTTTTTATAATGTTATCTGATACATGATATATGTTTATATTCCAAAACAGAAATATTTAGAAATTCAGTACTTTGAATCTTACTTTTTGTTTGTGTTTTTTTTTAAAGATTTTTTTCAGTTATTTATTCAAAAGAGAGAGACAGGATGAGTAGGGGGAGGAGCATAGGGAGAGGGACAAGCAGACTCCACACTGAGCACAGAGCCCGACTGGCGGCTCGATGTCATGACCCTGAGATCATGGCCTGAGCCAAAATCAAGAGTCTGATGCTTAACCAAGTGAGCCACCCAGGCACCCCTTGAATCTTACTTTTTTTTTAAACCTTTATATTGATGAATAATATATATAATGACAAACATTTTACTAGTGTATAGCTCAATGAGTTTTCATAAATGAAGCACATCCAGTTCAAGAAACAGAACATGACCAGCACCGAGTAGCTCCCCCTGTGCTCCCTTCCAGTCACTGACCCTACCATGGGTACTCACTATCTTGACTTTTTAGTCATTGGGTTAGTTTTGCCTGTTTTTTTGTGTTGTATGTAATTGGATACAGAAAATACAGATGGTCCCTGTCTTACGATGATTCAACCTAAGATTTTTCCATTTTACAATGGTGCACAAGCAATACACATTCAGTAGAAAGCATACTTTAAATTGTGAACTTTGATCTTTTCCCTGGCTGGCAATATGCAGTATGATACTCTCTCATGATGCTGGGCAGCAGCAACCATGACTCCCAATCAGCTACATGATCATGAGGGGAAATGACAGACACATAACTAACTATTCTGGTTTTCACTTTCAGCACAGTATTCAATAAATTACATGAGATAGTTAACACTTCATTATAAAGTAGGCTTTGTGTTAGGGGCCCTTGTCCTACCATAGGCTAATGTAAGTGTTCTGAGCATGTTTAAGGTAGGTAAGTCTACGCTATGATGTTCAGTAGATTAAATGCATTTTTGATTTATGGTATTTTCAATTTATAAGTCAAGGGAGATCTATGCATACTTTCAGCATCTTGCTTCTTTCAATTGATATTGTTTGTAAGAGTCCTCCTTATTGTTGCAAGTGGTTGTATATTGTTCATTTTTATTGCATGGTATTCCACTGTATGAATAGACCAAAACTTATTTATACCTTCTTCTACACTTATTTATAATTTCTTCTTCTAGTAACATTGCCCCTATGATCAGATGCAAAAATCTAACTTTAATTGCTTTCTCTGAATCTCTGAGGCCAAACAGTGCCCTCTGGAGGAAGAGGCTACCCTTTCCCATACTTTTAATTTCTTCAGTGTCAGAAAGCCATTCTGGTCCACTTTATTTTTTTTATTTTTTTATTTTTTAAAGATTTTTTTT